GAGAGAATTTTACTGTCTTGATTGATTGATGGATATTTGGAAAGAAAGCTGCCAGACAGGTTTTTCGCTCTCACACTCCATAAAGATTTGTTCATATTTCATAGAAATTAATTTACACTCCATAGAAAAATGTGTTTTTGGTTTATTGCTAAAATTACTCAATAAGATAAATTGTTATTTGTCATTATCCTATTCTTTTTGTTTTCGAGACTTAATTAGTCTCGAAGGGGGGAAATATGTATTGTCTGAACAATTTATGACTTTGCTGACGTCTGCAAATGGTGTCTTAGAGGATGTTGACTCAGCTTGAGGAAGCATCTGGAGAGCATTTCTATAGGGGAACCCTAAAACAGAGGAAGTCTGTTATGTGGAGTCCTGGGATTGGTCTGTAGGGGAAAACACCCATATCAGGTTACATAGGATATATATACTATGGTTTGGGACAAAGGAGGGGAGAACAACATATTAAGAGATTGGGCCGTTGTTCTCCAGATGTCTGCAGAAGTCTAAATTGGCGCTGAGATCTTCAATGTAATAAATCATTATAATCGAGGACAGTGTCAGCGGATTTCTTGTTCTCACAGCATCTCAGCATAGTTCTCGACACTACACAATCCAATCGAGTTAGACTGAACCATTACTTCCAAGGTAATCGACCCAGTCGTCTACTGGCTAACAAACTTCAAACACATGTCATATTGTTTATTATTTTGTGATGTCATTAAGGATGGTTTCAAGAAAGTACTGTAATTTGGAAAGTATACATATTCTATCTGTCAAGTCCACATCCAATACGTTGTGTATAAGAAATGAAAAATGATGAAAGTATTTTTGTTAACATAGGAATGTGATTTTAGTTTTCTAACGAGATCATAGGTTTTCATATAAGCTATGCACAGTCAGTAGCCATGCCCCGAGTGAGCTCAGAGAACATGTCAGCAAGTAGGAATGGCCCTTTTACAAGAGTCCATAAAAAGCCTTGGTAACGAAATTTACATTAGACCAGAAAGCGTGGAGCTGTGGCTACACGGCTGAAAATGGTTAGACCAGAAATCCTAATGAGTTAATTGTTACATGATTCATTTAAATCGAGGAACAATTAAACATAGTTAGTTGATTCGATAAATAACATTCATCATATTAATGAAAGTCACGTCAGGACAAATGTAAATACAGCACTCTTTTCATTTTTATTTTAATAAACATAAGGATGCCACACAGTGCTCTCACTACCCAAATTGGTATATTCAGACCAAAGCGGGTTTGTTAAAAAACTATTATCCTCAGATAACCTCCGTCGTCTATTACATACTGTATCTTGCATGCTTCATCAGAAACTAAAAGCTCCTTGGGCAGTTCTATCTCTCGATGCAGAAAAAGCTTTTGATGGACTAGAATGGTCATATCTTTAGTCGGTTTTGGGACAGATGGGGCTTAGCTCCAATTTCATTAATATAATTAAAATATGATATGCTAATCCCTCAGCCATAGTAATAACAGACAATACCTGCTCTGCTCCATTCAGAATAACTAGAAGTAGCAGGCCAGTCGATCCCAGCTCACGTCTGCTATTTTTATTATATATTAAGCCCCTGGCCCAGGTAGTTTGACAATGAAAAGAAATTACAACAAAATCACTAAATTCTACGGATCACGTCATCTAATTATACACCGACAATATCTTACTTTATCTAGACAATCTATTTCAATCTCTCCCAAACGCTTTGAAGATCATAGACAAATTCAGCTCCATCTCAAGTTATGAAATAAATCGAACTGAATCTTCCCTACTCCCCCTCAAGAACCCGACAGAGGACCCCATCTCTATATATGGAATCCCAATCGTTTCCCATTTTAAATATTTAGGAATATATATTTCCTTCTTTAGATAAAACCATTGCCAAAAACTTCAACAGAACGCTCAAATCAATTCAATCTCAGTATATGGACCAATATCCCAGTTGCTCTAACCGGCAGAATATATATTGTGAACATTAATATATTGCCTCGGTTGAATTTCGTGAGCTCAATGCCTCCTCTTTCGGCTATTGGGATAAAATCCACAGTGCGCTTTCAAAAATGTAAAGGTTAGAGATCCTGGATTAAATTAACACATTTACAGAGAGGGAAAGACGCTGGAGGGCTATCTGTTCCAAACTTTAAATTGTATTTCCAAGCACGAAATGCTAGATGAAGATGCGGGAGGAGGGGGGCTAGGAGGGATGGGAAGGGATGGAAAACATGGTTTCCGGGTGGGGAGGGAAGATGCGAGCGGGTGGATGGGGACTGAGGGGGTTGAGGGGAATGGGTTATATTATCTGTCTCTCTTCTTTATCATCTCTAACTCTGTCTCTTTATCACTCCCCTTGTCCCTTCCGCTCTCTTCCTTTCATATACATGCCTTCTCTCTCTCTCTCTCTGTCTCTCTCTCTCTCTGTTTTAGAAATTAGGTGGTGGGTGAGTTTGTGCGTGTGTGTGTGTGTGTGTGGGGTGTTTAATGTTCAGTAGCTCATTACTATTACTGTGGGAAGCAGGCCTCTGCTGATAGCTGAGGTAAGCAAAGATAGGCTGAGGTATACACACACACACACACAAACACTACACACACACACAAACACTACACACAAATGTCCCTGGACTGCTCCACCCTCTCATCTGCTCTCACACTCTCTTTGTCTCTCCCTCCCTCGCTCCCTCCCTCCCTCAATCTGTCTCTGTCTGAGGTACTCAGGGCTGGGGTAGGTCTGTCACACACAGGGATTAACCCCACATAAGAAGGAGGCTGTCTGTCTTTGAGCCAAAAAGCATTGGCCATTATTACAATGAAATGAACACACACACATACAAACACACTAGCGTCTGCACACACATACCTTATGGCACACACACACACACACACACACACACACTGACCAACACACACAGCCAGAGCCCAGTCTTCTCTTCATCAGATGATCTGTGATTTTATGATGATCCTTTATTACTCTATTCATGTCTTTCAAAATTAACTAGTCCCTTTCCCTCCTTCTCAATCGCTCTTTCTCTCCCCCTCTCTCAATCTCCCCCCTCTCTCTCGTTCGCTCTCTCCCCTCTCTGTCTCCATCTCCCCCTCTCTTTTTCTCTATCCCCATTGCTTCCCACATCTCTTTCTCTCCCCTCTCTCCCTCTTTCCATCTCTCTCATGCATCATCTGTGGTGTTGGGGAGGGAGGAGGTAAATCTTTACATACAACACATTCTGTCATTTGGCTGGTACTGTAATATGTAATGTTTCACCGAGTCGTGGACACCCAGTCACACCATATTCACCCAATCACCCCATATACACCCAGTCAGCCCATATACACCCATTCACCCCATATACAACCACTCATTCCATATTCACCCAGTCACCCCATATTCACCCAGTCACCCCATATTCACCCAGTCACCCCATATACACCCAGTCACCCCATATACACCCAGTCAGCCCATATACACCCAGTCAGCCCATACACACCCAGTCAGCCCATATACACCCAGTCAGCCCCTGTCCCATCCATGCCCATATGAATAGTCCAGGTTGATCTTATCTTAGGCTACATGGGAGATTTATTAGGGAAGAGCAAAGAAATGACAGGAAGAAGAGGACAGCAGTGTGACAACAACAGCTACAACAGAGGAGGACTCTGACTGTGGGGTGGGGGGAGTATGTTCAGTATACAGTAACAATGATTGTTAATAGAAAAACATAGATGCACAGACTAACTCTCTGACATGACAAGCAGTTTAGTTCAGTTACTTATTGACTGTCTGCCCTGAGGGCTGCCATATACCATGGTATTTATGCCTAATTTATGGCTAATAAAACCACACTAAAACATCTGAGTATGTTTCAATCAATTTAAACAGGAAGAATAGTGTGATCTTTAGTTATAATAACCTCGCTGGGGTTGTCTGTGTTCTCCATGTAACCTTTACATTTAGGTTAGATATCATCACAACAGACAGACACAGAGATCCTCCATGTTAATGTAACACCACTATTTCCATTCTCCTATATGCAGCACAGATACATGTATATCACATCGACTGATTACACCTACTAATAATAGACGGATAATGGATCAATAATCTACAGTAATTCTCCAATGTATGGCGGGATTACGGTGTCCATATTAGGACAGCCCCAGTCTCAGCAGGAGTTGTTTCAGGCTAGCAGCCAGTGCAGTTCTTCAGTATCCACTGATAGTTTCATGGTCATGTCTTTGTCCAGTTGCTTGTTTCAATAGCTCTTGTTGTTTCAGGTTGTTGCAGGCTGATTCCTGTTCTAATGTACAGGTGAGTCTTACATCATGACGTCACTATTCTGTCTATGAATCATTCCATGTTTTCACACAGTGGCACAGTCAATGTCAAGCAGTTAATAACGTGACAACAATGTCAACTGGGACCTAGAGAACACATCATCATTTCTACACCCGTGACAGAGTTAGATGCTATTTAGTATCAACAAGCAAAACGTAAACGGTGTTAAAAAATACAAACTTACAATATAGTGAAAGTAAAACAGTCAAAAAATGATAAGAAGCTCATAAAGTTACAGTGAAACATCTCTGTATATAGACAGTTACTTTAACAACACTACATAATGTTGACAACGGTCACAAAGTCCATAGTTCTAAATGTTGTGGATTGGAGGTCCAGGAATCCAAAGTTCAAAGGCTGAGTTTATATTATAATGAGATATCTGGATGGCATGGTAACACACAGGAACAAACTCAGTTAAGATGGATATGAGGAGAGGAGAGGGACTATGGACAACCCTTGCATTGATCTATTTACATTAAATCGATTTCTCAAATATACTCCAGAGTAATCTGGATAGAAGGTATAAGGTTGGTTTCCCATACACAGAAAAAGCCTAGTCCTGTACTAAAAAGTATGCTAAGTGGTTCTTAGTCCGGGCCTAGGCTTAATCTGTGTCCGGGAAGCTGGCATATACGGTTGAACAAATTGACACTATTTCTTTAGATAGTCCTTGGTGACGGCCTCTAAGAAGTTTGGAGCAGACATGAGAATGGTGAAGGTGCCGATGATGGAGAAGAGAGTGAAGGCCACCAGACACAGCCTGTCCACCACGGCAGCCGCAAACTTCCACTCGCTGCAGATCGCCACTTCCTCATCCTGGTCCCTGAAGCGCTGGGCGATATACGACACCTCCTCCAGGATCTGAAGGACCTCGGGAGGAGGAGTAAAGTTCAACCCCCCTCCTCCTCCTCCACCTCCTCCAGCACCTCCCCCTGGGGGCTCAGCCTCCTCGCAGGGGGTCCCTTGGGCCCGTCCCCCCAACGCCACGCCTGAATCGCTGGAGGGGGGGCAGTGGGGGCTCTCCACGGCATGGTAGCTGAAGTAGAGGCTCATGCTGCCGTTGGAGGTGCCGGTGGGGCAGGTGGAGCAGGGGGCCTGGGAGAGGGGCGTGGTGAGGCCCGTCATGGTGCCCATGGGGCCCATCTCAATGGAGCTGGCACTGGAGTGGTGCTGGGGTGTGTGGCGGTACTTGTAGCCTGCGGGTTTACGCTCCTCGCCTGGCTGTTTCATACGCAGGAACCAGGCACACCAGTTCAACAGCACTACCCTGACCTGGAGAGAGAGAGAGGGAGGGAGGGAGAGGGGGTTGAGACTGCAACAAACATATACACACAATGTTGATGATGGTGAAGACGATAATGTAATGAGATTGACAACAATGATGACGACGACAGCGGCGACGACGACAACGATGATGACAACGATGATGACAACAATGATGAAAACGATGATGAGGACGAAGACGACGATGAGGACGAAGACGACGATGATGACAACGATGATGAGGATGAAGACGACGATGACAACAATGATGAGGATGAAGACGACGATGATGACAACAATGACGAATACTTTGAGCAAAAATGTTTATTTTCAGTGTAAAATCTGTAGAAACAATGAGAATAGAAAGGTTCAGAACTTTTGTAAAACATCACAGTACAGTTGAAAAATATATGGCAAATAGAAATCCAATATGGATGGTGTTAAGAGATAGATGGGTGGTGTTGAATGGAGTTGAAGGATGGGACAAATAACAACTAACAACAACTAATAACAACAAAATAACTATTAATGTAAGCATACTGTGTCCATAAATATAGGTTATAGGTTGAGAGCTTTTGTGAAAGAGCACAGTTAGAAAGATATGGCATATAGAAGCAAACCGGATGGACATCATGAAAATGATCGGATAGGTTGAGGTTAGAGGAAATTCAGGAGTAAAAACAAACAAAATAGAATTCTTGTAAAATTGACTGTGTCCATAAAATGTATATAGTATGTATAAGCTGGAAGTAGAGGCCTAAGCATTGTTGTTCACTAGTTTACTCCAATTAGGGAAGGGGTGGTGGGGTTGGAAAGTAAGAAAGGGAAATATATTTTAAAAAATGAAAAGTCTATGTGTATATATGTATGTACAGTGAGGGAAAAAAGTGTTTGATCCCCTGCTGATTTTGTACGTTTGCCCACTGACAAAGAAATGATCAGTCTATAATTTTAATGGTAGGTTTATTTGAACATTGAGAGACAGAATAACAACAACAAAATCCAGAAAACGCATGTCAAAAATGTTATAAATTGATTTGCATTTTAATGAGGGAAATAAGTATTTCACCCCCTCTCAATCAGAAAGATTTCTGGCAACCAGGTGTCTTTTATACAGGTAACGAGCTGAGGTTAGGAGCACACTCTTAAAGGGAGTGCTCCTAATCTCAGCTTGTTACCTGTATAAAAGACACCTGTCCACAGAAGCAATCAATCAATCAGATTCCAAACTCTCCACCATGGCCAAGACCAAAGAGCTCTCCAAGGATGTCAGGGACAAGATTGTAGACCTACACAAGATTGGAATGGGCTACAAGACCTTCGCCAAGCAGCTTGGTGAGATGGTGACAACAGTTGGTGCGATTATTCGCAAATGGAAGAAACACAAAAGAACTGTCAATCTCCCTCGGCCTGGTGCTCCATGCAAGATCTCACCTCGTGGAGTTGCAATGATCATGAGAACGGTGAGGAATCAGGTCAGAACTACACAGGAGGATCTTGTCAATGATCTCAAGGCAGCTGGGACCATAGTCACCAAGAAAACAATTGGTAACACACTACGCCGTGAAGGACTGAAATCCTGCAGCGCCCGCAAGGTCCCCCTGCTCAAGAAAGCACATATACAGGCCCGTCTGAAGTTTGCCAATGAACATCTGAATGATTCAGAGGAGAACTGGGTGAAAGTGTTGTGGTCAGATGAGACCAAAATCGAGCTCTTTGGCATCAACTCAACTCGCCGTGTTTGGAGGAGGAGGAATGCTGCCTATGACCCCAAGAGCACCATCCCCACCGTCAAACATGGAGGTGGAAACATTATGCTTTGGGGGTGGTTTTCTGCTAAGGGGAGAGGACAACTTCACCGCATCAAAGGGACGATGGACGGGGCCATGTACCATCAAATCTTGGCTGAGAACCTCCTTCCCTCAGCCAGGGCATTGAAAATGGGTTGTGGATGGGTATTCCAGCATGACAATGACCCAAAACACATGGCCAAGGCAACAAAGGAGTGGCTCAAGAAGAAGCACATTAAGGTCCTGGAGTGGCCTAGCCAGTCTCCAGACCTTAATCCCATAGAAAATCTGTGGAGGGAGCTGAAGGTTCGAGTTGCCAAACGTCAGCCTCGAAACCTTAATGACTTGGAGAAGATCTGCAAAGAGGAGTGGGACAAAATCCCTCCTGAGATGTGTGCAAACCTGGTGGCCAACTACAAGAAACATCTGACCTCTGTGATTGCCAACAAGGATTTTGCCACCAAGTACTAAGTCATGTTTTGCAGAGGGGTCAAATACTTATTTCCCTCATTAAAATGCAAATCAATTTATAACATTTTTGACATGCGTTTTTCTGGATTATTTTGTTGTTATTCTGTCTCTCACTGTTCAAATAAACCTACCATTAAAATTATAGACTGATCATGTCTTTGTCAGCGGGCAAACGTACAAAATCAGCAGGGGATCAAATACTTTTTTCCCTCACTGTATGTATGTATGTATGTATGTATGTATGTATGTATGTATGTATGTATGTATGTATGTATGTGTATATATATATATTTGCGAGAAAAAAAAAACATATGGGGGATTGGAAGTGATGCAGACAATTACATTGATGGAAGTTACAATCTATCTGCAATATTAAAGCTGATCTACCCCCTAAAAAAACAAAACAATGTCGAGGACGAAGACGACGATGATGATGACAACAATGATGAGGACGAAGACGACGATGATGACAATGAGGACGACGACGACGATGATGATGACAATAATGAAGAGGACGAAGACGACGATGATAACAATGATGAGGACGAAGACAACGATGATGACAATGAAGACGACGAAGACGACGATGATGACGACAATGACAACAATGATGAGGACGAAGACGATGATGATGACAATGATGAGGACGAAGACGACGATGATGACGACGACGACAACAATGAGGACGAAGACGATGACGACGACGACAACAATGATGAGGACGAAGACGACGATGATAACAATGATGAGGACGAAGACGACGATGATAACAATGATGAGGACGAAGACGACAATGATGACGATGATGACAACAATGATGAGGACGAAGATGATGATGACAACAATGATGAAGACGAAGACTATGATGACAACAATGAGGACGATGACGACGATGATGACAACAATGATGAGGACGATGACAAAGATGAGAATTATGATGATGAGGGATATGATGAAGATTGGGAGCGGGACTCACCCATCTGGGCATCTTGCCACCCTGAGGGTCGTGGTGATGGAACTGCAGGACCAGAACAGTCACCACCACAGACAAACCCACTATCATCATGGTGCTGGCAAAGTACTGAGCTACAAAACACAAACCACAACCACATCAAACATTAACAACGTGACATCATACATCACACAGACACTGACCAACAGAAGGGAGAGACAGTGCATCCCAAATGGCACCGGGCAGGGTCTGGTCAAAAGCAGTGAACTAAATAGGGAATAGGTCGCCGTTTCGGAAACAGCTAGATAGTCTTATCTTCGTAGTTGTAGTGTGGTTTCAGTTGAATGTGTCTTCATATATCAGTGGAAAATCAAGCAGCCCAATAATATAACACTGTGGTAAAACACCACCAAGCTTACGTGCACATCATGGATGTGTTCTCTCAGGGGAGGGACTGAATGGAGGGAGGGAAGGGAGCTTCACTCCACTCGAGCGTTAACTCAACACTGCTCTTCCCCAAATATCTCAACTCTGTAGCTGCCTCCCAGGCCAGTCACACCCCCTCCCTCTCTCTGTTAGCAAACAACCGCTAAATGCTTCAGACATGAACAAACGCTACCAGGACACTAGCAGGGCAAAGGGCACATGACCCACTGTGCGATCAGGGGTTAGGATTATCCCTGGTCGGCTTAGGAGGAGGAGGATGGGAAGGAGTAGGGATTCATATCTTCCAGAAAATCTACCAAGTTTCAATACTGGGACTAATTCATATTTATCCCGGGAATCCCGGGAAATACAGCAAAAATCAGAAGCGGCCATTTAAAGCATTTAAAAAAACGATATGGTCACTATGCCAGGGTTCTCCCCAAATAAGAGGGGCGCTGCACCACATTGCTGGCTTGGCTGCGCCACTATGTAAGGATTTCAGAGCAAATAAAACTGAAAATGACATTTTTATCATCTTCCTCAATTAATTCAGCACATTTCAGCAGTAGGCTATCTCAACAAAGAGCTTGCTCAGGCCACACAGAGTGCACCCCAAGTATAGCGTTGTCAAATCATACAAACTTTGTAACGGCAGTCAAACAAAAGTCAAATGACCAAAGTTGCTAAACTTGCAAGATTACCTACTTCAACGAATGGCGGAATATCTCCTATATTTGGAAAAATAGAGTTGATGATTATACCGGGAGCAGATCAGATCAGGAATAATGGGGAGATGAAGAGTGGAAAGACACTGAGTGTACAAAACATTAGGACATAGACTGACCAGGTGAATCCAGGTGAAAGCTATGATCCCTTATTGATGTCTCTTGTTAAATCCACTTTAAATCAGTGCAGATGAAGGGGAGGAGACAGGTTAAAGAAGGATTTTTAAGCCTTGAGACAATTAACACGTGTGCCATTCAGAGGGTGAAGAATGGGTAGGACAAAATAATTAAGTGCCTTTGAACGGGGTATGGCAGTAGGTGCCTGGCACACTGGTTTGTGTCAAGAACTGTAATGCTGCTGGGTTTTTCACGCTCAACAGTTTCCTGTGTGTATCAAGAATGGTCCACCACCCAAAGGACACCTAGCTAACTTGACACAACTGTGGGAAGCAATGGAGTCAACATGGGCCAGCATCCCTGTGCAGTGGCGGCTCCTGAAAAAATTCTCAGGGGGGGCAATTTTTCTGATGATTTAGGTGACCTACACACATTTTAAAAAAGATATGTCCAGCAACAACATGAAGACAGGGGCAGCATATAAGTCAATACCAGAAGCATTTATTGACTGATCTCAAAAGTGTTGGCTTACCAGGGTTGGTGGAGCCCTCAGTTTCATCTTTGCCTCGCAAAGCTAACTCAAACACTCCGCAAAACTTCACACACTGGATTAGCCGGCTGAGGATGTGGCGGTTCTTGCTAATGTCGTAGTAAATATATTTGTTATAGTGAATATGGAATATGATATGTTGAGTAAAATGTTGTGCTAAGATCTATTTAGGTCAGGAGCTGGTTATAAGTTCTGTTCCTATCCAATAACAATGGACAAAAGGGTCCTATCTTGTCAGCCTTGTCAGTTTCAGTTCTCCAGTAAACTTGTGATTATCAACACTAACCTCATCGTTGTGGCGGCGGACAGCTAGCCTGTATCCCTCATCCAGTTGAGTGGGAATGTTCACTCTCCCCAAAGCAGACAATCTCAAACAGCTATCCATGTGGGTCTTTGACAGCTCATGTTTCTTAATCTTTCCTGAAAGATGGTGCATGTCCGTTACACACCAGTCGCTGTCCAAGCGGTGCTGTCTGCCGTGCCGCCTTCAGGGTGAAAGAGTAAGCAGGGGGTAGCAGAAGACTGCATTAGCTACATCGCAGCCTGCTAGCCAGGTTTTTCGTTCGTACCAATTTTTGGAAAATCCTCGGGTGTAGGACTTCCCCCCTTTAGTAGAAACCTGTTGAATTATTAAATTTGGTCTGGGAGGTCCTAATTGTTTCGTTGCCAATTTATCTTCATTTGTTCGCCGACAAAAAGGAACTTCTTTCAAAGACACAATCGAGTTGCACTGAAGACTAGCCATTTTTACAGTAGTAGTGAATTGATTGATGAGGCTACCCGCTCTTTTCTTAGTTACGTTCATGGTTACGTTACGTATGACGAAAGCGCGTAAGTGCAAGCCCTCAGAAACCCATAGAGATTGTATTGAAAGCTCTGATATTTGAAAAAAATAGATTTTACATGGGAGTCTATGACAGACTTCTGGGCGATTTTCAACCTGACTGAAATCGCCCCAAAAGGGGGGGGGGGGGCATTTGAAGCACGACTTTAGCCTGATTGGACATTTAGTGGCACTGTGGCAGATCAGACGTCTAGATTACAACACTGATAACTACTGTTGCCGTGATATAATTGATTAGGAAAAAAATCCCTTCCTTTTCCCGTTTGGCAGTGCGTCGCCCATATCGCCCTATTGAACACACCGCCCCTGTCCCTGTGGAAAGATTTCGACACCTTGTAGAGTCCATGTCTCGACGAATTGAGGCTGTTCTGAGGGCAAAGGGGAAAGGGTGGGGGGGGGTGCAACTCAATATTAGGAAGGTCTTCCTAATGTTTTGTATACTCAGTGTAGTTTAAATATCAAGGTATCTTAAAGGGGGACTTGGGGCTCTATGTAAAGCTGAAGCATTACAGATTCCGCGATAGAAATGAAAGGTAATTTCCGATTGAGCTGACATATGCAGCGTTTACCGTGAATGCTGTCTTCGCTAAAGCGGGAACATTGACTTAAAATTTCAATCACGCTGTAAAGATGAACTTTCGCGATGCGGATTGAATAGAGCCCCAACTCTGTTTTAAAAAATTCCATATCTACTCTCATACTGTTTGTTGGTCACACATTCTCTACCGAAGCTCTCATATGGGCAGCAAGTACGAGACAGTGCAGAGAAGTGGGGGAAATGTTACAGTGGTTCTTTGACATGCATAGGCGAGAGATGTGATTTGACAATGCAACCTATGGATTACAGAATAAAGTTAGGAATTTTCATGTGAGACAGGTGTCAGGATTTTGGGTTTCAGTGCGATTGGGACTGGATAGGAAAATAGCCTAGGATCTAGGACAGGAGATGCCTATGTAGTGAATTGTGCACAGGCCAATCAGATTTGTGACTATCTGAAAAGTAACAGTGACAGCTCAAAGAGGCACAGGTTATTTTAATAAAGGCTTCCATGCGACAACCTGTTTCGATAATGTGCTATTTTATTTTTTGTTAATCTGCTGCTGCACATGTTGTGTATTTTGTGGAATTGCATTAGTGCCACATGGGGAAAAAGGTTGTAATTTGCCAGGTCTTGTCATTACATTTTTTCAGGAAATGTGAAATGTGTTCTTGTGACAGTCCCGGGATCCCGGTTGCCCATGTTAATCCCTAGGAAGGAGTACTGAAGAAGCGGAGGCAATGGAGAAGACAGAGGAAGAGTATGGTGAAGAGGAGGAGGAGGAGGAGGAGGAGTAGCAGGAGGAAGAGGAGGAAAACATTGAAGTAGAACAAAAATGATGATAGGTATGAGAAAGAGGAGGAGGTGGAGGCAGGAGAAGAGTGGGATTCTAATTAGGAGGAGGAGTTGGATGATGACACCAGATACCAGCGCTGCCAGAGAGAGTCTAATCCAGCAGAGTGGAGGTGGGAAGTGCAGAGATGCCCCTACAGAGTGCTGACTAACACTGCCCTTCACTTATAACTCTAAACAGACCATCCCCATCTGAGCCTGTCAGCAGCCTCTCTCTCTCACACACCTAAAACTAGATAAGTGTGCCAGAGATAGAAACAGAGATAGAGCAGGCCAGGTGAGTGAAGGATGGGGGGAAGATGAGAGAGGATGAGAGGGTGATGACATTACTACTTTTTGGGTATAGGGGGACCTCATCTGACACTACCCTGGTTGGGGGCTAAAAGGATAATCTCACGGCCCAAAAAACACATTCAACTATTCAACTAATCATCAAGATCTGGATTTGCATGATCAGGCGTGTTAGTGCTGGGATTAAATAAAATCCTGCACAAACTGTGGTCCTTTAGGGCCAGGAGTAAGAAACACTGCTGTATAATGTATAAACAGACTCAAGTTTACAGGCAGTTTCTGGAGTATAACTCACAGACAGACAAACACACTGTGTAGTTCATTGCTGTAAACGGGTATGATTGATTTTTATTTCACTCCTCAAAGCGTTTGAGCGCTGAGCCCTGGGCCTTCCTGCTGGTCAATGGGTCATACAATCTGACTGATTACGGTATTGATACATCATAAACACAACTAATGGAGCATTTCTCAGTAAAATTACACTAACTCTGTTACACTAACTTAACTGAGACACACACACACACACAGTTTATGGTGCTAGTTCAAAAGTGCTAACACACACATATTTACATAACTAACAAATGTATTACTATTTTGCAGGAAGATATGTAGAAACTGCACATGTGTACAGGCACACACACACACTCCTCCCAGGCCTCCACTCGAGTAAAATGAGGTGATGGCTAAACTAGTGAGCGCTATCATGAGTGTCTCATCACAGCACCGGAAGTGTTTGAACTTCTCTCTCTCAGAAATTAACCCCCTAAAGGTTACTCATCTCATCCATCTATCAATCCTGCCTTCTGTTCTGCTCTTCTTCGTCTCATGGGGAGCCTGGCTTGTCACGACCCACTAATAATGTTATCCTCATTGTCAGCCTGATCCAACACCATCCTGCTCAAACATAACATCAGGGGATTGAGACTGACGTATGTGTAGGAAAGGCTCTCAGCACTCACTGACATTAAAGATATGTACAGTGCATTCGGAAAGTATTCAGACCCCTTGACTTTTTCCACATATTGTTACGTTACAGCCTTATTCTAAAATGGTTTAAATTGTTTTTTTTTCACTCAATCTACACACAATACCCCATAATTACAAAGCAAAAACAGGTTTTTAAGAAATGGAAATAAAACATTTACATAAGTATTCAGACCCTTTACTAGGTACTTTGTTGAAGCACCTTCAGCAGTGATTACAGCCTAGAGTCTTCTTGGGTATGATGCTACAAGCTTGGCACACCTGTATTTGGGGAGTTTATCCCATTCTTCTCTGTAGATCCTCTCAAGCTCCGTCAGGTTGGAATGGGAGCGTCGCTGCACAGCTATTTTCAGGTCTCTCCAGAGATGTTCGATCGGGTTAAAGTCCGGACTCTGGCTTGGCCACTCAAGGACATTCAGAGACTTGTCCCGAAGCCACTCCTGCGTTGTCTTGGCTGTGTGCTTAGGGTTGTAGTCCTGTTGGAAGGGGAAACGTCGCCCCAGTCTGAGATGCTGCCAACACCATGCTTCACCGTAGGGATGGTGCTAGGTTTCCTCCAGATGTGACGCTTGGCATTCAGGTCCAAAGTGTTCAACCATGGTTTCATCAGACCAGAGAATTTTGTTTCTCATGGTCTGAGAGTCCTTTAGGTGCCTTTTGGCAAACTCCAAGCGGGCTGTCATGTGCCTTTTACTGAGGAGTGGCTTCTGTCTGGCCACTCTACCATAAAGGCCTGATTGGTGGAGTACTGCAGAGATGGTTGTCCTTCTGGAAGGTGCTCTACGGACAATTCCTTTGACCTCATGGCTTGGTTCTCGCTCTGACATGCACTGTCAACTGTGGGACCTTATATAGACAGGTGTGTGCCTTTCCAAATCATGTCCAATCAATTGAATTTACCACAGGTGGACTCCAATCATGTTGTAGGAACATCTCAAGGATGATCAATGGAAACACGATGCACCTGAGCTCAATTTCAAGTCTCATAGCAAAGGGTCTGAATACTTATTTTTTTTATAAATTTGCAAAAAAATCTAAAAACCTGTCTAACGCTTTGTCATTATGGGGAATTGTGTGTAGATTGATGAGAAGGAAAACATTATTTAATCAATTTTAGAATAAGGCTGTAATGTAACAACATGTGGAAAAAGTCAAGGGGTCTGAATATTTTCCAAATGCACTGTATACAGCTAGTCAAACCAAAACTAGCCAGGCCATGAGAGAATGACAGACTGTATTGACATACACATTAACACAAGGTTTACTCACACACACATTAATACAAACACACACACTCTGCCTTTACACTCACTAACGCACAGCCAATCAAACCAAACCATAAGAGGAAAGAGGATCATGTATAATACACACGTGCACGCACACACAGAACCCACCGATGAGAGGCACAGAGTCTGAGGTGGCGGGCATGATCTCAGCAACCAGTAGCATGAAGACTGTTAGAGAGAGCAGGACTGTGATACCTGGAGAGAGAGAGAGAGAGAGAGAGAGAGAGAGAGAGAGAGAGAGAGAGAGAGAGAGAGAGAGAGAGAGAGAGAGAGAGAGAGAGAGAGAGAGAGAGAGAGAGAGATAGAGATGAGATTGTCAAACTCATTGACATCTGAAATTATTCTTGGAATACGTTACGCTAGTGATCAGTTATAACCTCTAGGCTAAACCAATTTGTTAGACTGGTGGTTTCTCTGACATGTTCAAGGCAAGTTACCAATTGGAAGAGATTACAGTTAACTCCTCCTCCTCAGATATCTATTAAACAAGCCTAATATTCCTGACAGAATTCCAGGATGGAGAGGATTCCAGAATGTGTGTTCAGATATTCCCATCTGAACAGCAGGAAGATAACTCATCATCCCAAGACATCCATCAATCAAACCTAATAATACACCTGACAGAAGTTCATAACGGACAGAATTCCAAGACGTCTTTCCGGCGTTCCTTCCTTACCCAGGGAGATCTTCTCTCCAGAGTCAGCGGGCAGCAGAAAGACCAGCAGGGCCAGGCCAGAGATGAGAACACAGGGGATGAGCAGGTTGAGACCGTAGTAGAGGGTTCGTCTTCGCATGGTGACCGTGAAGGTGACGTCAGGGTAGGGCTCCTTACAGCAGTCATAGTACAGCTCATTACGCTTGGCCGGGACTCCTAGGAGACACACACACACGAAGAAACACAGAGGTGGAGTTAGGGGTAATTCCAAATCAATGCATTTACATTCATTCAACGATGGCCTGTTCACATGTTCTTTGATATACACATACACAAGTAGGAACCACACATTTCAAAAGACAGTCTTACACAGGCAGGAAATCTACACACTCTCAAACACGTGTTCCTCTCACTGAGCAGAGTTTATCCAGTAACATGCCCCCTCTGGCAGTGTGGAGTAAACATGAAATGTAGTCTGACACCCCCCATACCCAGACACACCCCTCAGGGACCCTCCACTGGCCCAGGTGGGTCACTGGGTCATAACTGGCTGGGGTAACACCCCCACCCCCTCGCCCACAACACCATTCCCACCCACCTCTGTAGAGATAGAGACATGGACACACATGCTGATACAGAGACAGAGGGACAAGCGGAGAGATTAAAAGAGACAGAGTAGTGAGAGAGAGAGAGAGAGAGAGAGAGAGAGAGAGAGAGAGAGAGAGAGAGAGAGAGAGAGAGAGAGAGAGAGAGAGAGAGAGAGAGAGAGAGAGAGAGAGAGAGAGAGAGAGAGAATTACTTGACACATTGGAAATAATTAACAAAAAAACAGAGCAAACTAGAATGCTATTTGGCTCTAAACAGAGAGTACACAGTGGCAGAATACCTGACCACTGTGACTGACCCAAACTTAAGGAAAGCTTTGACTATGTACAGACTCAGTGAGCATAGCCTTGCTATTGAGAAAGTCCGCCGTAGGCAGACCTGGCTTGCAAGAGAAGACAGGCTATGTGCACACTGCCCACAAAATGAGGTGGAAACTGAGCTGCACTTCCTAAACTCCTGCCAAATGTATGACCATATTAGAGACACATATTTCCCTCAGATTACAGAGATCCACAAAGAATTCGAAAACAAACCCAATTTTGATCAACTCCCTTATCTACTGGGTGAAAAACCACAGTGTGCCATCACAGCAGCAAGATTTGTGACCTGTTTCCACAAGAAAAGGGCAACCAGTGAAGAACAAACACCATTGTAAATACAACCCATATTTATGTTTATTTATTTTCCCATTTGTACATTAACTATTTGCACATTGTTATAACACTGTATATATACATAATATGACATTTGAAATATCTTTATTCTTTTGGAACTTCTGAGTGTAATGTTTACTGTTAATATTTATTGTTTATTTCACTTTTGTTTACTATCTACTTCACTTGCTTTGGCAATGTTAACATACGTTTCCCATGCCAATAAAGCCCTTAAATTGAATTGAATTGAATTGAATTGAGAGAGAGAGGGAGGGAGGGAGATTAACTAAATCGTACCCACGAGGTCCCACTCCCCGTTGGGTATGTAGGTAGACGTGTCCACGTCCAGCATCTGGAGGTCCAGCAGCCAGCCGTTGTGGGTCCAAGAGCCAAACTTCAGGTCACACTTCTGGACGTCAAAGGGGAACCAGCGCACGTCGATATAGCAGGTACTCTTCAGGATGCCCGGGGGGATGTACTGGCAGTAACCCGATGCATTCACCAGCACGTTGGTGTGGAAGGTAGCATCAAACCTCTCATCAGCACTGCAGGGAGAGGGAGGTAGAGAGAGGTAGAGAGAGAAAGAGAGAGAGAGAGGTAGAAAGAGACTTCTCAATACATCCATGTCAATACCTAGACAGAAAAATCCATAAATATAGGATATTTATTTGATCCCATTTAGTTTAATGTCAATAATAGGATGGAATTTGGTTATATGTCAATCTTAGTGGACCTTTTGCTAAACTTTACTGACCATAAAGAGTGAGACAAGCGTTGATACATTGCAGAAGTTATGCATTAATTATACACATAAGAGAATACAAGGAGATATATGTATTTATAGGAGAAAGAGAACGCGAGACACAGAGAGACAGAGACACAGAGACACAGAGACACAGAGACACAGAGAGACAGAGAGACAGAGAGACAGAGAGACAGAGACAGAGAGAGAGAGAGAAAGCAAATGAGTCCTTTTACCTGTTAAGTATCGATAGCATGATAAAAGACAAGCCACACTAGAGCAACAGGTGGTGTGGAGCCGTGTGTGTGTTTGTGTGTTTTGCATATCAGATACTGTTTTCTACTGTGTGTGTAATGTTCAGTGTCACAGTAATGTCACAGTAATGTTCAGTGAAGCGCTATGCATGGCTAGTTGTGGAGCGACCAACCAGCACAGGGCCAGACAGGTGATGCCCAGGTGAGCTGATGTCATGAGATGTTAAACATGCAGCGACAGACAGGGAATAAACAAACCACTGTCGTCCTTCATAACTCAGCTGCTTGCCTACTGTGCCTGCAAACATCTGTTACACTGGTACATACTGTCTACTGGGATGTAAACACACATTTCTATGGTAAAACAAATATATACTCTTAGAGGTCAGCTAAAGCCTGAGTTAGAGAGTTAAAACAGTCAGACAACCTGTCCTGTGCTAACACACAGAACCACACACAAACAACACAATCACTCACTCTACCCCAAGGCTCCATTCCCCTACTCTTCTACAGTGAGGGGGAAAAAGTATTTGAAACCCTGCTGATTTTGTACGTTTGCCCACTGACAAAGAAATGATCAGCCTATAATTTTAATGGAAAGGTTTATTTGAACAGTGAGAGACAGAATAACAACAAAAAAATCCAGAAAAACGCATGTTAAAAATGTTATAAACTGATTTGCATTTTAATGAGGGAAATAAGTATTTGACCCCCTCTCAATCAGAAAGATTTCTGGCTCCCAGGTGTCTTTTATACAGGTAACGAGCTGAGATTAGGAGCACACTCTTAAAGGGAGTGCTCCTAATCTCAGCTTGTTACCTGTATAAAAGACACCTGTCCACAGAAGCAATCAATCAATCAGATTCCAAACTCTCCACCATGGCCAAGACCAAAGAGCTCTCCTAGGATGTCAGGGACAAGATTGTAGACCTACACAAGGCTGGAATGGGCTACAAGACCATTGCCAAGCAGCTTGGTGAGAAGGTGACAACAGTTGGTGCGATTATTCGCAAATGGAAGAAACACAAAAGAACTGTCAATCTCCCTCAGCCTGGGGCTCCATGCAAGATCTCACCTCGTGGAGTTGCAATGATCATGAGAACGGTGAGGAATCAGCCCAGAACTACGCGGGAGGATCTTGTCAATGATCTCAAGGCAGCTGGGACCATAGTCACCAAGAAAACAATTGGTAACACACTACGCCGTGAAGGACTGAAATCCTGCAGTGCCCGCAAGGTCCCCATGCTCAAGAAAGCACATATACAGGCCCGTCTGAAGTTTGCCAATGAACATCTGAATGATTCAGAGGAGAACTGGGTGAAAGTGTTGTGGTCAGATGAGACCAAAATCGAGCTCTTTGGCATCAACTCAACTCGGAGGAGGAATGCTATGACCCCAAGAACACCATCCCCACCGTCAAACATGGAGGTGGAAACATTATGCTTTGGGAGTGTTTTTCTGCTAAGGGGACAGGACAACTTCACCGCATCAAAAGGGACGATGGACGGGTCCATGTACCGTCAAATCTTGGGTGAGACCCTCCTTCCCTCAGCCAGGCCATTGAAAATGGGTTGTGGATGGGTATTCCAGCATGACAATGACACAAAACACACAGCCAAGGCAACAAAGGAGTGGCTCAAGAAGAAGCACATTAAGGTCCTGGAGTGGCCTAGCCAGTCTCCAGACCTTAATCCCATAGAAAATCTGTGGAGGGAGCTGAAGGTTCGAGTTGCCAAACGTCAGCCTCGAAACCTTAATGACTTGGAGAAGATCTGCAAAGAGGAGTGGGACAAAATCCCTCCTGAGATGTGTGCAAACCTGGTGGCCAACTACAAGAAACATCTGACCTCTGTGATTGCCAACAAGGGTTTTGCCACCAAGTACTAAGTCATGTTTTGCAGAGGGATCAAATACTTATTTCCCTCATTAAAATGCAAATCAATTTATAACATTTTTGACATGCGTTTTTCTGGATTTTTTTGTTGTTTTTCTGTCTCTCACTGTTCAAATAAACCTACCATTAAAATTATAAACTGATCATGTCTTTGTCAGTGGGCAAACGTACAAAATCAGCATGGGATCAAATACTTTTTTCCATCACTGTATTTACATTTTAGTCATTTTTACATTTTAGTCATTTTAGCAGACGCTCTTATCCAGAGCGACTTACAGTTATTTTTTTATTTTTCATACTGGCCCCCCGTGGGAATCGAACCCACAACCCTGGCGTTGCAAACGCCATGCTCTACCAACTGAGCTACATCCCTGTATGTCTGTGCACCAACAGTACCAACAGTAACAAACACACACTCCATGAAATCATGAGATGAAACCTGACCAGCGTATGTGGGAGGTACACAGAAAACCCCTCAGTATAATTCTCATTGGTGACTTTCCTCTGCCAATGTTTACATCATTGGTGTGATTGCCGATGGGTTTGTGCACTGTCAGTCGTGAACAGTGAGCACCAACAATCTCCCTCCCTCCACCCCTCCCTACCTCCCTCTCTTTAGGACCAAGGGAACATACTGGATGATGATAGATAAAGAGATTAAACCAGAGAGGAGAGGAGGGGAGAGGAGAGGAGAGGAGAGGAGAGGAGAGGAGGAGAGGAAGGAGAGGAGAGAGAGAGGGAGAGGAAAGGAGAGGAGAGGAGAGGAGGAGGAGAGGAGAGGATAGGGAGGAGAGAGGGAGAGAGGAGAGGAGAGGAGAGGAGAGGGCAGAGGGGGTTAGGGGAGGGAGGGGGGAGAGGAGAGGAGAGGAGAGGAGAGGAGCAGGGGGGAGAGGAAGGAGGAGTGGAGAAGAGGAGAGGGAGGAGAGGAGAGGAGAGGATTGAGGGAGGGATCATTGGTTTTGATGAGGCATTGTGACACAATGGAGATAATAAGGACATGATATGATCTACTGGGTCTAGAGGGTCTACTGGGTCTAGTTGGTCTACTGGGTCTAGTTGGTCTACTGGGTCTAGTTGGTCTACTGGGTCTAGTTGGTCTACTGGGTCTAGTTGGTCTACTGGGTCTAGTTGGTATACTGGGTCTAGTTGGTCTACTGGGTCTAGTTGGTATACTGAGTCTAGTTGGTATACTGGTTCTAGGGCTTAGGTGGGACTGGGACTGGAGTTGAAGTTATAGTTGGAGCGATTGGGTGAAGAATCTTAACTCTGTGAATGATCCAGGATCAGATATAACATTCACGCATGCAAACACATAACCACAATGTAACTAGCACAGGTAGCACCAAGCAGCACAGTATCATAAACACACACACAGCGGGTCCTATCGGGCAGACCATGCCTTCCCCTTTTATCAGTGGTCCATCCCCAGCAGTGGAAACCCATTAAGGCACCTGACAGTTCTATTCAGACCCTTATCAACAACCACTTATCCCCCCCGAAAACCGCAAGACACCCCAAGCGATAACGTAGACGCGCCTGGGAACGCAATCCTCCGGCTTACACACATTCAGCGCGGTGACAAAAGAGTGGCCCGAGCCTTAGAGAGGATTTACTGATTTATCTCTTCTCTCCTTCCTGTTCAACTCAGTGGGTTGAATGATCTACCTTTTCAGAGTTTAGTAGTGTCATTTATTTCTCCTTGGTGTGGGTGTGCTATCAGTGCTGATGTGGCAGGAGGAGATGCGAGCACGCGCCTGTGTCTGCTTGCGTTGTGTGTATGCGTGCATGATGAGTGTATCTGTGTTGGCGGGGCAAGGGGAGATGTATGCATGGGCAGGGCTGTGTGTGTCGCTGCCATCCCTGGCTCATTAAATTATTCAGAGCTCTGCTTTATTGTATCAGCTAGTGCGTAGCCAGAGAGCGTATATGCACACACACACACACACACACACACACACACACACACACACACACACACACACACACACACACACATGCAATCTGGGTGAATGACAAGAGACGAGAGAGAAACGAGAGAGAGACGAGATATGATGAGAGAGACGAGAGAGAAACGAGAGACAAGAGATGATGAGAGAGACGAGATATGACGAGAGAAAGACTATAGACGAGAAATGAGAGAGACGACAGACGAGAGCGAGACGATAGAGACGAGAGACGAGAGAGAGATGAGAGAGAGAAACAAGTTGATACACTCTATAATGACAGACAGATGGGAGCGAACCCAGAGATGAGAGACGAGAGAGACGAGACAGAGATGAGACACGAGAGATAGAGAGAGAGAGACGAGTGAGAAACAAGAGAGAGGCGAGAGAGAGACGAGAGAGATGAGAGAACACAGAGAGAGAGAGATGAGAGAGAGATGAGACGAGAGAGACTAGAGATGACGAGAGTGAGAGACGAGAGAGAAACGAGAGAGATGAGAGAGAGACGAGAGATGACAGACAAGAGACGAGAGAGAAACGAGAGAAAGACGAGATATGATGAGAAGAGACGAGAGAGAGACGACAGAGAGACGAGACATGAGAGAGGAGTGAGACGAGACAGAGATGAGACGAGAGATGAGAGAG